AGCCACGTGGTCACGGGGCGGCGAGCACCCTGGAGTGCAGCAGCCACGAGAAGCTGAAAGAGGCGGGGAACCGACTTTGCGGCTGGGGAAACAGCCCTCTCCACACCTGATTTCACGTCTAGCCCCCAGACTGTGGGAGTAAGTTTCTGTGGGTTTGTTCAAGCCACCAGAGTTGTGGTAATTTGTTCCAGCAGCCCTGGAGCACGAATACCCCATCTCTGGGAACAAGAGAGAGTTTTAAAACAGATGAGCAGAGATTGTGCCAGGGCCTAAGGGGTGTGAGAACGAAGAGTGAGGGGAAGTCATCAAGGTGATAGAAGCTAAAGGTGACAGCTAGCCTGTCACCCGAGCAACTGCTGTATCCCAGGCACTGCCGTAAAGACGTGGACGGTCCTCATTCATTCTTACAGCTCTGTGAGGCCTCATTCGACAGGTGACGACATGGCAGCACAAAAGGGTCCAGTCACTTACACCAGGGAAAACAGGCACCGTGTGGTGCGGCCAAGGGGAACCCAGAAACTCCAGCTGCCGCATCCACATGTTAACCACACACTTTACTTCTCCTCCTCCCTCCAGGTGCGTGTTTCTCAAGGTTCTGACTTGAGATCTTGTGATCATGTAAAGCAGATAATAGGTCTCAAGAAGGAAAAACAACAATATTTTTTAAAAACCATGTTGTGAGGTAGAATGGAGGGAAGAGTAGACGCTTGACGTCACCTGGGCTCCGTCTCAGCTGGGTTGGAGAGAGAGTGGCCCGCTGACACCGAGGGAGGCAGCCAAGCCAGGCCTCGGGGGACCGAGGGAAGACGAGCGGGAGCCTGGCTTCGACTTCTGCTGCGCAGGTGCACACGCTCTGTCATTTCCTTGACTGGCTCTTGACCCTGTGCCTGCCTGTGCCCGAGGAGTGTTTGTGCCATGTGGAATGTCACATGTAGGGGAGAAGGGGCCGAAGGGGGACTGTCCTAGAGGGGGCGCCTCTCTGTGGAGTGTCCTTTGTTCAGGGCCAAGGAAGGAAACAGAGAAGGGCACACTAGCGCCTTGTCCTTAGAGACTCCTGAGCTAGTCAGAGAAGCGGGGTATCCCCGTGTTGGCCGGTGAATGGGGTGCCGGGCGGTGCCTGGCAGGTGATAAGGGTTAATGGCAGTTAACTGGGTGCTGACTGTGGGCCAGAGGGACCGGAGGGCTTCCCGGCGAAGGTTTCAGCTGGTTCTCACTGAAGAGGGAGTTTGACAGCTGGTGACGAACCCGGAGGATGTTTCAGCACGTGGCAGGCTTTGGGTCCAAGGAGCGCCAGAATAGACACCTTCCAAACCCACCTGGGTGGACGCCATGCCTTGCAACCTGCTCGGTTAAATTATTCAGAACATTAGCGTGTGCTCCGCTGTTTGCCTCGCTAGGCTACACGGTACAATGGAGAAGAGCAGGGTGAGGCTCAGTTGCCACTCGCGTGAGCTTGGACCCGGAGCTTCACCTCGGGTTTCCCGTCTGTACAACGTAGACAGTCGTCCCGGCCACTTCGCACTTCGACTTTCACGGCTTCACCCTATGGCGGTTGTTTCAAATGTATTCATTAAAAAGTGGATCGAGACAGTGAAAACGATGCCGCGCGCTCGGTTGTCTGAGTCGATTATACACCCCGTATTACAATTAAAATTTAAATCACTGTACCTGTGGACTGTAGGCCTGTGTATTCGAGCACCCAGGAACCCTTCAACGCCAGGTGCAACCCTAGGGTCTGGAAGCGATTCACAGCGATAAACGAGGGACGACTTTACCCATTCTCTGTCTTTCAGGGTTGTGGCGAGGCATTGATAGGATAACAGTCGATATCTAAGCACAGTGCCTGGCATTTAATGGATAATCAGTGTCACCCTTTTTCTCTACAGTAATTAAGAACAAATTGGATGACGCGGTGTATTGGCTGACAGTTCGTTTCTGAAGATGTGACTGCTGAATCGTCTACAAGTCTTAATGTTTTCATATGTCTGAAGCACATTTTCTGTCTTGTGTACTGTTTGTTTATCTCTCTCCCCTTCGTGGACTTGGCCACTAGATATGCTCTGTGGGGCCAGGCCCTTTACCTGTACCTCTGAGAACTCCTAATTCTTGGAGGACCTGAATGGATTTGCTCAGGTATTAGGGGTTCCTCCCAAATGTCCCTGTAATATATCCATTTCCCCCACATCTATTCTCTCCTGATAATACTCATGAATTCTTTTTTATTTTTTAATATTTCCCCATGATCCCTTTTATTATATATTTTTAAATGTGGAAATCAGTTTCAAGGTCCTATGCCATTTATTTCCACTATGTAATTTATATTCTCATTTGTCATCTTATGTTTCCTTGAGGGGAGTTATATAAGAGCTAGAAGGGCCACACTGACTCACAGTCCTGGTCCCTGCAGCCCAATAACCCTCTGCAAAGAGATGAGAAGAAATGTTTTGGGGACAGCCGTTTATTTCATATTTGCAGACTGAGATGGCATGTACTGTCTGATGTTGACTTAAAACATTTCTCCCAGCCGCTTCATCTGTCACCCAAAAACCTGCCTGCCTTCTTCTAGAATACTGATGGGTGTGCACACGTTCATTTTGCACCCCTGTGGAAAGGTGGGGCACACAGCGGTGTTAGGGAGCATGGGTGAGGGGAAGAATACAGGGTTGGTGGTATGGTGCTAGTCCTACCCATAGAGAGAGACACCAGGGGCCTATGACACACTTGCCCAGGCGCCTGAGCGTCAGAGCAGGGCCTGCTTTGCCAAGGGAAGGCTGCCAGGCCACCTCCCAAGGGGTCACCCAGCATGGCAGGCCTTACTTGGGTGAATTTCCCAAGACCAAGGCTCAGGCTCACAGCATGTTGGCTTAGAAACCACTTCTCGGGGCTGGACTCATACCAAGCAGTTCACGGGAGATAGACGTGTAGAAAGCCAGGAGGCCAGTTTGCTAGCTCACACCAGAACCCTGTCTGCCGGGTAGGCAGGAACACGGGTATCATCATTCCCCCCTGCGCTGGCGGCCACGTCCTAATCTGAAGGTCGGCTGCTGAGCACTGGCAGAGCGAGGGCATGTACATGGGTGAAGGAGAGTGCAGCCGGGTGTCAGGACTGCCTGGCTGTGCGCTTGGAATTCTCGAACTCTGTGCTGACGCCTGGTGGGTGCTCCCCAATTTGTCTCTATTATACTGTTTTTGTTGGTTGGTTGGTTTTATACTACCATGGCTGACCAAACCTCACTCTGACTTGAGACATCATTTCTTTTCTTTTTAAAATAATTGTTTTCCTTTATTGATTTTAGAGAGCGAGGAAGGGAGAGGGAGAGAGAGAGAGAAACATCGATGAGAGAGAACATAAATTGGCCGCCTCCTGCATGCCCCCCACTGGGGATCAGGCCCACAACCTGGGCATGTGCCCTGACCAGGAATCGAACCAGTGACCTCTTGGTGCATGGGTCGATGCTCAACTACTGAGTCACACTGTCTGGACGAGTCATTGTTTCTTAAAATTTGTTAGAATTTGCAACTTGACCCAGGTTATATCTTTTTTCCCCACCTTGGGGAAATTTAAGGTGACTCTTCCTACTTCTCACATGACCCATGATTACTGATTTATAGTTTACCTCTGAGCAGGCTTTTCATTTCCACACGTCGGGGTTTTCAGCAGACTTCTTGCTGTCGCCTTCCAGTCCTGGTAGTATATAAGCTGACTGTCCCACCCCGCCAGGCTCACCAGACTATTCAGCTAGCCACTGAAGCAACTTCTAACTTTAAAATTTCTACCTTCAGGTGTCACAAGATTCTCTTCTTAATAAAAGATTCGGTGATTTTGTCAAGCTTCGCTATTCCCTGTCCAATGGCATGATTCCTGACCAAGTCCCTCTGCTGGGTGGCATTCACAAGGCTGGCACCTTTCCTTGGCCTTTTAGAACGAACAGCTCTGGGTCCATCCCCGTGACTCTGCAGCCCGGCGCTGCCCTCACAGTGCTGCTTTGCACAGATCCATCACCTTTCATATCTCACTGATGCTTCTGAAATGATTCTCTAGGTCTCTTTTCCATCAGTAATTTATCAGCTGGAATTCTTCCCGAGTGAAGAACTTGCTCTTATCAACTACTCGGTTACCTTGAAACATTGTTAATAAAGGAAAAGGAGGACAGGTGTTTGCATCTTTCCCTCTACCAACTTTCTTGAGTGATGAACTGAGATTTTAGCAATTTGATCAGTGCAGTTTTTAGAAAATATAGCTTTTGAACTCAGAATTTGATGTATTTCATATTTATCAGTACGTGCGATCCATATTGAGATAATCGATGTAAATTGGTGCAATGGATATATTGTTTTGATGAGCTTGACATGATGTATGGGATTTGCTCAAGGCTGTTCTGACACCCGAAAAGCAAACCAACATCAAAGGGAGTGCTGGAGATGGAAAGGGATTGGAAAAATCCTGATATTTGTTAAAGCTGGACAGTAGTTTCGTGGGATTCATTATACCATTATTTTTGCTTTTGATATGTTTAAAATTTTTCCAGATAAAATAGGTCTAGAAATGTACATAATTCTAAGGTTACCAGAGGAGTAAATCTGAGTTTAGTCTTCAACTCCGGCCTCTACCTGAATCCCGTGGAGAAAGGTCTTTGATTTTTGTTGAAATTTCAGATACCCCAGCAACAGTTCTGAATCCTCGTAGCCCCCGGCAGTAGCTTGCCAGATATGTGAATATTTTCCAGGATTTCGAAAAGCATTTAAATACTGGACTTCATTGGATCCCTGTTCATAAAACTCTTGTCATGACATCTGAGGTTGTCCAGCTGTGAACGAAACAGTGTTCAGGAAATAATGTAATGTGAAATCAGTTGGTGTCACAATTGTAGCATCACTCCCATTCCTGAAGAACTGGACACACGGTGGCTTACGCTGCCTGAATTGCACGGGACCCAGTCTGGCATGTGAGCCTTTCTGAACTCACTTCTTCAATGTAATGGTGCTATTTCTCATTCCAGGTTTAAGTGTATCTATTCATGGGGCTGAAAAGCGTTTGCAAGTCCATCAACAACGGCGAAGTGTGGCAAGCCGGCCAGCGTCCCGCCGCCTGCCTGTGGTCAGGCATTCCTCACTCCCACCGAGCAGAAGGTCAATAAAAATGGAGGCGAGCTCTTCCGGAACCACGGGTGGGAAGGCCAAAGCCTCCCACGCAGGTAATGCACGGGGCCAGTTCGACAGATCCACGGCAGTAGCAACCCAGCACCCCGCGTTACATTTTAATGATTGAATTATGCCAAAATTCCAGTTAAGCTTGCTTTTTTGAAGAGTCATGTTTCTTTCCTTTTCTTCACTTCAGTCAGTGTAAGTGTCACAAAGACCAGTAAGAGGAGAGAGAGAGAGAGAGAGAGAGAGAGAGAGAGAGAGAGCGAGCGCTGTGTCAGAAGGGTTAAGGCTGCGTCCTGCCTATAGTGGTCGAACCTAAGTGGAAATCTAAGTGAATACACTGTCTCAGTTAAAAAAAAAAAAAAAAGCTTGATAAAACAAAAGAGATCTGGCCATTTTCTTGATAATTTGTTCTGGGACAGACCAGGGAAAAAGTCAAACTGAAAATGTCCACTTTGAAGCTCAAGATATCTGACTTGATTTGCCTCCATCCTGCTAAAATTGGGGCAGAAGACTGGGATCATACTGAATTTCAAGGCTATGGGAAGCATTCTAACGTGTAAAAAAAAAAAAAAGTTAAAATGAGTCAATATCAAAGTAGATAATTTCAACAAAAAGGTTTTATTTGCCTGTTTGGATGAGAAGCTCATTTAAGTGTTCATTCATTCATTCATTCAACCAACGGATTTATTCAGTGCCTGCTGTTTGCCAGGCATTGTTTTGGATGCGCAGGAAACATCAGTGAAAAAGGCAACTTTAGTGTTCATCTGACTCATAAGAACATTGAATTTTGAGGGAATTTAGAAGTCATTTAGCATAACTCTCACCCAATCCCGATTCCTCTGTGTAATGTCCTGACAGATGACCACCCAGCCCCAAATAAAGCCAAGCATGTCATGCCATTCATATCCTCTCTGTCTCTGTCTCTGTCTCTGTCTCTGTCTCTGTTTCTGTCTCTCTCTCTCTCTCTCTCTCAGTAGACAACCTTATTTTCTGACTTCACTGAAAAACCCCAGGGCTATTGGGCATAAATCACTGCAGAGTCCTTATGTTCCATCTCCAGATGTGTTCCTCTTTCTTCCCTTTCTTCCCCTCTTCCCTACAGGTTTTAGAAGAGGAGGGTCTTTCCAATGACCTTGAATAAGTCTTTACTTGTAGCCTTCACCTGTGGCCTTGGCCATCCCTCCTCTCTTGAGCCTTACTCAGAAGAACACGTCCCCACATTCGCTCGTGGTCCCTCTCCCTTACTGCTGGCTCTCTCCCCTAATCTGTTAAACAGCCGGAAGCCTCCCCCATCCCCATCATAGTCATTTGCCACGTTCTCTTTCATTTGCCATCTCCTCTGCCACTTGCCCCTCCCTTCTAATCCACGCATACATACTAGAGATTCATTTCAAGGAATTGGCTTTCATGATTAAGAGGTCTGTTTACGCAAGTCTGAAATCCATGGAGCAGGTTGTCAGGAAGGGCAGACTGCAACTCTTGGGTGCAGATGAAGCTGCTGTCCACCGGTGGAATTTCTTCTTTTTCAGGGAGGCCTTAATTCTGCTTTTAAGGCCTTTCAAACAATTGAATCAGTCCTGCCCAGATCATCTAGGATAGTCTTCCTTACTTAATTTCAACTGATTGCAGACTTTGATCACATCTACAAAACCCCTTCACAACAATACCTCGATCACTGTTCACTGAGTAACTGGGGACTCTAGACAAGTTGGTACACCAACTAGACTGTTAATAAGATCAATCAGATATCTGATCAGACTGATTTGCGATCAGCTCTTCAAACACTTGGTACTGTTTCATGTCTCCCAACCTTTGCTCATGCTGCTTTCTCTAGGACGCCCTGGTTTTGCTCAATTATATTTTAACATTTTAAAATTACTTGTCTATCTCCCCACCATAAGGTTTTCAAGGGTGGAAATTCTAGATTGTTTATATTTGTATCTCCAGTAATATATAGGGTAGGACTGAAATGAACCATCATTAGCTGTTTTTCAGACTATTAAAACAGATTTCTTTATAAACAATTTTTTTCCAGCTTTGTTGGGTTATCACTGACAAATTACAATAGTTTTCTAATTGTCCTACCTCCCTTTCTTTCAACAAAAATTTACAGAGGGACCACTAGGTTGCCAGGCATCCTTCAGGTACTTGGGATACAATAACGAAATTGACAAAGGTTTTTGACCTCAGAGAGTCCATATAGCAGCTGGGAGAGACAGACAATACAAAAACGTGATACCTTATATAGTGTTTAGGAAGAGAATAAGTACTATGGGTAAAACAAAAGGTAGGGGAATCAGGTGGTAGGATTGCATATTGCAATTTTAAATAAGGTGGTCAGAGTAGGCCACATTGTGGAGGGGATGTGTGATCAAGGACTAGAAGGAGTCAAGAGAGCCATGTAAATTGGCAAGTTCATTCCAGCAGAGGGCCAGCCAGTGGACAGGCCTAAGATAGGGATGAGTCTGGAAGTTTGAGGAACAGCACAGAGGCCTCTGAGCCTTAAGTGAGGCTCAGCTTAGAGAGGTCAGGAGGAGCAGATTGGGCAGGGTCTTGTAGTCCATTGTAATGACTTTAAATCCTGTGTGAAATTGGGGCACTTAAGGGTTTGGAGCAAAAGAATCCTATGGGATGACTTATATTTTACCAAGATCACATTGGCTACTGTTTGAGAGTAGACTATAGATAGAAAGGATGAAAGGAGAAGGGTCAGATAGGAGGCCACCATAACAGTCTAATCAAGAGATGATGGTAGTTCTCACCAGGGGTGGGGTGGGGTGGGGTAGGAGGTTGCAGAAGCAGTAGTGAGGATTTGTATTCTGGAAGTATTTTAAAGATGAACCAACAGGACTTCCCAGTGGATTAGATGGTAAGAGAGAAAGGAGTCCTAAGTATGACTCCAAGGTTTTCGATCTAAGTAAATTGGATTGGTATCCAATGGAGAGGGCTGAAGAGGAAACAGATTGGTGGGTTTAAAGGGAGAAGTAGAGCCAAGATCAAAAGTCTGCTTATGAACCTGAGAGTACCGAGAACTGGCAAGATCATGTAGGTGGTGGGATAAACATGTCTGGAGTCTGAGAGATTGCTCTGGGAAGGAGATACAAAATTGACTGTTGTTGTCATAGAAATGGTCTTAAAAGCAGCGAGGTGAAAAGAGATGACAAAAGAAAGAAATAAAAGTGGAGAAGGGGAGAATATTAAGAGCTGAAATCTGGGGCATTCCAATAGTAAAGGTAAGCGAGAACATGAATCAGCAGCAAAAGAAGATCAAGAAAGAGTGCCCAAAAAGAGTGGGCAGAAACCAGAAATGGCATGTCTTGGAAGTAAGGAAAGTTGATCAAGAAGAGAGGAGTGGTTATCTAGGTTAAATGTTGCTGAAAGTCAAGAAAGTCAAAGACTAAGACTTGGCCATTGATTTTAGTAAAGTGAAGATCAGTGGGGATTTTGATAAGAGCAGTTTTGGTAAAGTGATTGAGATAAAACCCTGATTAAAGTGAATTTAAGAGAGAATGGAAGGGTATGAGTTGGATACTTCGAATACATACAACTTTTTTTTTTCTTTTGAGCTGTTTTGCTGTGAAGGGTAGTGAAGAAATAGGGGAGCAGCTGAAGGAGAAGTAAGGTCAAGGGAGAGATTCTTTTCAGAGTAGCAACTCTCCAGCAGATAATTCATGATGTTGGAAAGGGGGCAGAATTCATGGCGTGGGCATCGGTGAGAGAGAGGAGAGCTATGCACAAGACAATCATGAATAGTTTGTCTGTGATAACAGATGGGAAGGAAGAATATGTGGATGTTGGGAGTTTGATGAGCATCTAAGAAGTTCTTTTCACATTGTGTCAGTTTTATTTGCAATGTGGGAAGCAGGGCCATCGCTGAGAATGAGAATGGAACCAAAGAGAGAAGCAGAGAAAGGGGGAGAGAAAGAGATATGGTGTGATGATATGATGGTATGACAAACAGAGGAAATATGATTGCCAGTCACATTAACGAGCCATTGGAGAGTTGTAGTCATGATTAAAGTAGGACTAGTCACCATGGTTGTGTGTTTTTCTTTAGCCACACCAGTGAAGACATAGAATAGATGGGCAAGCGATTTTGCCAAAAAATTAGGAAAAGAGTGATCGGCAGTCAAAGGTGCATAAGAGGGAATGATTGTAACAATCGATGATGTGATTTAAGCTTTGTAAAGAGGGAAGTCAAGCCATCAAGGGGGTGAGGAACAGTGGAAAGTTGGCAGGAGCAATCGGTTGGAGGTCCCAGAGGGTTGACAGGGTGTTGAGGTAGGGTAGTGGGAAGAAGAGCTGGAAAGAGAAGAGATAGTAATGAGAGAGGGGGTGCATGATACTGACATTATGGAGGGGGTGCTATTATTAGTAATAAGCCAGTCTAGACCAGAGTATGAAATGAGTGACTGTAGTCGGGTGAAGGGCAAGATCATTGGAGGAAAGAATTCTCAGGACTGAGAGGCCAGGATTTGGGAAGGATCATCTATGTAGATACTGAAATGGTCAAGAATGGAATAGTTTTGGGGAGCGTGATAATAAGCCAGGAGTTAACTTCATCATGCAGTGAGGGAGCATGACCTGGGAGGCAGCAGGTGAATGCAGTGATAAGGGATAAAAAATTATGTAATATAACAACCTGAGATTTAAAGCTTGGGGTATTTAGGGAAAGGGAAGAACAGTGGTCTGAAGTAGCATTAAGACTCAAGTCTTCTAAGTTCTCATCACAAGAAAAAGAAATCATGACTATGTATGGTGACGGATGCTAACTAGATAGAGTGTGGTGATGATTTTTCAATATGTACAAATGTCAAATCATTGTTATGTACAGCTGAAACTAATTATGTGTCGGTCGTACCTCAATAATGAAAAAGAGACTCAAGGAAGATACCTTCTCCTCCTGATCCATTGGTGTCAGTGCTGTAAGAGAAAACAGTCCCATACGAAAGAGACACAGGGACGCAGTGACCTCTGGGAACAACCTGGCTTTTCTTAGAGAAGATGAGGGAACAATCTGAGGAAATGCTGGTGATGGGAAGAGAAT